TGCCTCTGCCTCCCAAGTAGCTGGGATCACAGGTGCCCGCCACAACGCCTGGCTATTTTTTGGTTGCAGCCGTCATTGTTGTTTGGCGGATCCGGGCTGGGGATTCGAACCCGCCACCTTAGGTGTATGTGGCTGGCGCCTTAGCCAGTTGAGCTATAGGCACCGAGCTGTGTAACTCATTCTTATACAGTATTTTGCTACAACGACTTATCTACTAAGCCATGAGATCTTTGACACCTGGGTTGGGGTTGGACCTCTTATTTCCTCTGAAGGAGAATACTTAGTGCTGGGTGGATACTGCTTTAACTGAATCGAAGTTGTTACAGTCACAAATGTAAAATTCTGCTCTATTTAATCCAGGAATCATTTACTTACTAATGTGTCTCTAGGCCTGACCCTGCAGTAGACACTGGATTTAAAGTGCTAAGTAAAATCCCTGCCCTTAGAGAATTCCCAGTTTAGTAAAAGTTCTTTGAATCAGAAAGTAATTCTTTTTAATAGAGACATCATAATCCAATACTTAAGTAATACATATGAATTCTTATTTATTGTTTGTACAGATACAGTTGTCTCCTCCAGCTGCTGTACCAGTTTAGACTACATCGTCACCTACCTCTTCAAGCACATAGCAAAAGAGGGCAAGAAGCCACTTCGATGCAGAGAAGCTACCCAGACTGGTCAGAGACTATTACATTTTATGCAGCAAAACCCAGATGTCCTGCAGCAGGTAAACTGGTAATTGGTCACCTAACTTAAGAAACAAAGTTTTCAAAAAACCAGCCTGTCTCTGAATATCTCTTAGAGTGATTGGTCTAAGATTTTTTTTTTTATTTTGAGAGAAAGTCTTATTATATCGCCCTTGGTAGAGTGCTGTGGCATCACAGCTCACAGCAACCTCAAACTCTTGGGCTCAAGCGATTCTCTTGCCTCAGCCTCCCAAGTACCTGGAATTATAGGCACCCACCACAGTACCTGGCTATTTTGGGTTGTAGTTGTCATTGTTGTTTGGCAGACCCAGGCTGGGTTTGAACCCGCCAGCTCTGGTGTATGTGGCTGGCACCCTAGCCACTGAACTGCGAGTGCCGAGCCTGGTCTAAGATTTTTTTTTTACCAGTATATCATCTAGGAGTATTTTCCTTAAAAGTGGACTAGAATGCTGTCCTAAGGATTACTCACCCTCAAGAAATCCCTTTACCATTTACCTCACTTCAGTGAAGCTAGAATTCAAAAAGAGTATAGGTTTTCCAAATACCTGAGAGAAATAGGACAAAACTGGAACTAAAAACCGACAACCTCTTATTTCTTTCCTAGAGCTGCTGATAATGTCACACTAAGTGTGCCATGTGAATACTCTTGTATATTAGGAAACTACCATTTACTGAGCTCCTAGTCTGTGCCTGGCAACTTGCTAGGAACTTGACATTCATTACATTAGACTTTGTATTTTTCTCATTTTAAGAAGAGAAATCATAGTTCAGATAGAGTAGATATATTTCCAAGAACATTTAAGTAATAAAGCCAGTATTTCTTTATTTTCAAGTGTGTTTACTAACTACCTCATAAGGATTTAGGTGCAAGTTTATTACTGTTTTTAAAAACTCACTTGTGCACGCCAGGCATGGTGGCTCACACCTGTAATCCCAGCACTTGGGAGGCCAAGGCAAATGGATTGCCTGAGCACATGAGTTCAAGACCAACCTGAGCAAGAGTGAGCCTCCATCTCTAAAAAATAGCCGGGCACTGTGGTAGACACCTATAGTCCCAGCTACGTGGGAGGCTGAGGCAAGAGAATCACTCGAACCCAAAAGTTTGGGGTTGCTGTGAGCTAAGATGCCATAGCACTCTACCAGGAGTGACCAAGTGAGACTTTATCTCCAAAAACAAAAAAAAAAACTCACTTGTGCAAATCACAGTAACAGCATGTATGAAAAATAAATATACATGCCAGAAATATTTCAGAAAGAATAATACCATTTTTAATAGCCATACCAACATTGTGATATTTTTTAATTCCACTAAGTTTGGAAAATATCTTTATACTGTTTTCAGTTTCTTTTGCTAAATTATATCTGTAATGGTCTACAATTATAAATGTAAACACTTCAATGGCGTCTTGCTACAGTGATCATTAGAGAGCAAATAAGTAATTTGCAATCATCAGAAAATGTCACTCTTATAAATAAATGATGAAAATAGAATGATACAGTATAGAAAAGATTTCCTTCCTGGCTGTCTTTTTTTGCTAATATTTAAATGAACTTATGTAAATTTTATTTGTGGTGAGGTTTCAGTTACCTAATTATTTTTCAATTCAGATTTTATATAACTAGGCAAAAGGCTGTAAGCATATGCCTATTTGTTATGACCCTAAAACTGTTACAACATATCAGTAATGTAGTATAGGGAAGAGGAAAGTACCTTACATTTAGCGAGGATTTATTACATGCAAGAGGAAAGAACCATTAAAAAATGTCCTTACATTCACACAAAAATAGAAAAAACAAAATAACGTAAAAAATAAATGTCACGTGAGAGAAAAAGTGGCAGTAATCTGATTACTAGAGCGATGACAAGAGTGTAACACAAGAGGGAAGCACTGTAAGAGAAATCTTCTCATTTAGATCCCACAACAACCCTAAAATGTGGGTATCACCATCCTCATTTTACAGATGAATAAACTGAGGTATAGACAGGTCAACTGGAAAGTGATGGAGTTGAAAGTTGAACCAAGGTCTCTTTATCTCAAAAGCCTATGTCTTTACTAATCACACCACTGATATTCAAGGTGGGGATAATATCTCAGATTCACCTTGAATGCCTTTTCAAAATATCTCTTTTATTAAGATATGAGTGTACCTCACCCACCTAAATGCAGTAGCTATGGATATTGTTGGGAGTATGTCTTAGCCTTCCTATGGTTTGAATGGAGAAGGCCGACAACCACTTAGAGCATGTAGCTACTGAAGAAAATAAATATTCATAGATTGGCCAGGAGTCACTTCTGCCATGATCACAGTTATCGTCCCGTAAACTTTGGCAGAAACTTTTAGGTTGGTAAGAAATTTTAGCAAAACTTAGTAGGCTGTAGTCCTAGACAAAATGCCATCAGACTGTGCAGAGCAAGTAATGTGGAGACAATCAAGTTTATCTTTACTCAGAATTACCATGGATTTGTTGGTTTAAGTAATTTCTGTGTGTTAATAATACTTGGTAATCCTTCACTTTATAGCATATGACTAAGTAGTGATATATCTTTATTAACAGTGGAATACATTCTATTTATTTGCAATGTAGGCTTTCAGATAGCATTTTAAATATTAATGACTGGTCTCTGGTAGTCAGCATAAATATGATTTGCATTAGCACTAGGTTATATCATCTTGAGTGCCTCTGATGTCAACTATTGGGTATAGTAGTATCTGACATCATCTCCTTAGGTCACTGACAACTTTGACCTCTATTCTTATGCACAGTTTCTGTCGTCTCAAAAGCTCTTTTGAATTGATTTGAAATTTTGACTCTTCCCTTTATGAGGCAGTAAAATTGATAATTATTCAGATGGGAACAGAGCGCTGAGTGAAAAATCAATTCTACCCGCTCTCTGCTGCGTATAAAATTACTTCTGAGTCGGCTGGACTGAACGGATGGCCAGAGTAAAAGCAGCAGGCAGGAGTAGTGGGAAGAATTAGCTGGACAGGGCTAATAGCCTGAAGGGATGGACTTGGAAAAGAGGGAGTGGGCCAGTTGGGGGTTATTATGAGCGAGGATGGGTCCCATTGATCATCTGTTTACATCAGCTTTCCGAGACCTTATAAATCAGCCCTGAAGAGCAGCAGAACCCAAGATTCAGCCTATTACCAGTGGGACTTTGTATTAGATTATTTTCATTTTCACACTCAGATGAAAAGTGAGTCATTGATTATTCATTGGTTGCCCATTAAATGCTGTTTTTTATAGATGATTTGCCTATCACAGAAGGTAATGAACAAGGTTGCTGCTTCATAACTTGAGGTTTCAGTTTTCAAGGCATCTGTGTCGGTTAAGTAATGCCTAACCCTATTAAAAGGAATGGGTTACAAATTGCTTAACAGTGCTGAAAAACTAGACCCTAATGAGTAATTGTGCTTGGAGTTTAGAGAGGGTTTGTCAGCTCTTTAAACTAAACTGATGCAATGATCCTGCAATTATTTGCCAGTTTTTTCCTCCCAACCTGGACCTGGACCTATTTTGTTGGAGAGATAGTTGCATGAAGGATGTCAATTCCAGATTGCAAAAGTTATTTCTTCAGGCTTTCATAATAAAGGAAGCTGGCCCCCACATAAAGGATTTTCCAGCATCTTTATAGGCTTTTCCATTTGCGTACAGTAGCCTGGGAAAGACATTTAAGTGATTGTCACCTAGAAATGTGTCTATTATAAACCACTGTGTGGCCTTAGATCTTCATTGTTTTGTTATGTGTCTTTTGGGGTTTTTCGGTTTTTTCTTTTGTTTGTTTGTTTGAGACAGAGCCTCACGCTGTCGCCCTGCATAGAGTGCTATAGCATCATAGCTCACAGCAACCTCCAACTCTTGGGCTTAAGCAATTCTCTTGCCTCAGCCTCCCAAGTAACTGGGACTACAGGTGCTCACCAAAACACCCCGCTATTTTTTGGTTGTCGCTGTTGTTGTTTACCAGGCCCAGGCTGGATTCGAACCCGCCAGCTCTGGTGTATATGGCTGGCACCTTAGCCACTTGAGCTACAGGCACCAAGCCAGATCTTCAATGTTTTTTAAAATATTCTCAAAAATGAGCCATCTTTCATACTTTGCAAACAGATTTAACTTTGAAGCATTAAAATTTAGTTCATATGTCTCGGCGCCTATGGCTCAAATGGCTAAGGCGCCAGCCATGTATACCTAAAGTGGCGGGTTTGAATCCAGCCTGGGCCCGCCAAACAATAATGATGGCTGGAACCAAAAAATAGCCGGGCATTGTGGCAGGTGCCTGTAGTCCCAGCTACTTGGGAAGCTGAAGCAAGAGACTCGCTTGAGCCCAGGAGTTGAGGTTGCTGTGAGCTGTGATGCCATGGCACTCTACCCAGGGGAATAGCTTGAAGCTCCGTCTCAAAAAAAAAAAAAAAAAATTTAGTTCATATAAAGATTCAGTGTAATCAAGTAAATCTGTTTCAGGTAAAAATTACTATCTCACCAACATTGCTTTGTCTTAACAATTGAGAAAAACCAAGTTTACATAAATTAAGGTGAAAAATTCCTCAGGTATGTTTATGTCATTAGAGAAATAAATTAAACATTTAAGGGAAGACCAAAGCCAACAGTGATCAGATAACTCATCAGTACTTTATAGAATTAGAGGGGCATTTGCCCCTTTAAATTAGAAATTCAGTTAAAACTAGTTACTCTAGAAAGAATAGCACCTTCCCCAGAAGTATAAGAAGTATGTCACTGTTAGTATTACCAATTACATATGCAGTTAATTTATTAACAAGGTATTTTTTATCAATTATAGTCTTAAAAATCTAAATCTAGCATGGAGAAAATGGAGCAGTTAAATTTGAATTTATCTTACCTTCGTCTGCTTATCTATTTGGCTCAAATCAGCTGTACTAAAATCCCAAAGAAGTTCTAATTATGATTTTCTTTCTCTTTTTTATTGTTTGTTTATTTACTTATTTACTTGCTAACATGGCATTCAGCTACAAATTGTGAAGAGCTGTCAGGAGCTATAAA